AGATTCTGCCTAAAATTCTATAACTTTTTTTTTTATAAATAACGTTAGTATTTGCAAAATAAAATTATTCCTATGTTACATAATTGTCAGTTGTTTCCGAAGTTGGGCTACACAAATTTGGTAGGAGTGTTTTACAGAGGTGAAGAAAAAGATATATGTAAAAATACTTGGAGTTAGATGCTACACTGTGTTCAAACAGTTTTTTTTGGCTGATCCTATATATTATTATTTTTTCTAGTGATTTTACAAAACCTTTCAACATTTGTTAAGAAAGTATATTAAGTACATCTATACTCTATACAGCTTGCAATCTGTTCTGAATTTTTCAATTTTTATCCTTCTTTTACTTCATTTACACTATAACAAGTTTTGCCATGACAAAACAAAAATTATTTATTATTAAGCATTAAAGTAATTTATATAGTTATATGACATTATTAATAGAAATTGAAGAATTTTGTAAAATCTATCAGAAAAAAATATAATATACCGGGTGTTTTTCAAAAGTGGCTTGATTGACGTATTCAATTAGTTTCGGTTATTTCTTGTTTCACCGGAAATGACTACAACTTGGTTTTTAAATGGTACCGTCGGTATTTTTTTACTTTATTTGACAGAATATGGCATTGTGAATAGAATAATTTAATGTCAACTTTTGACATATTTACTTAAAAAATTGTATTTTAAATTACAATCTAGAGTGCCATGATAAAAAACAACATGTAACCGGTCGTAAAGGTAACGACAGTTTGACTCGATATACGAAGTGTGTGGTACCAAATTACCTATTTACCAGGTACCAAAAAGGAAAAGACACAAAAAATATTAGACGATCAAATCAATTTTTCCGAAGCTCCTTGATTAAAAATTAATGGTTTTAACACAGCCATGACACTAGATTGAATTTTAAAATGCTATTTTTTTTAATTGAAAATGTCAAAAGTTGACATATGATATATGTCATTCTATTCAGAATGTCATTTTCTATCAAATAAAGTATAAAAAATACTGAGGGTACCATTTAAAAATCAAATGTTGTACTCGTATACATTTCCGGTGAAACAGGAAGTGACCGAAACTAACGGAATACGAATCAATCTCGATTTATGTTATATACCTACTAACATTCCGAATTTGGTAAACCCCGAATTTAATTTTTTTATCTGAAAAAATAAAAAAGTTATAGAGGTGAACCGCTTTTGAAAAAACACTCAGTATAGGCTGCGTCATTGAAAGAATCTGCAGATATTTTTCTATTTTAAATACGTAGTCGAATTTCAAAAATATATATTGAACACCCTGTAGCTCTACCTTAAATATCTACATATAAATATCTAATATTTTTTCTTCATCAACAAATTGAAATATTATAAAACTAGTTTTAGGTTACACCATTATACAAGAAATATACGTAAAAAAAGTAATAGAATTTTACGCAGAATCTAAAATAAAATAGGATGTTACATTTAAAAAAAACATTATGTTAAATCCGCCACACTTTTTACAAAGTTACAGACGTAGGTAGGTATAGTTTCATATTATATTCTTTAATTATCCATCTAAAAATAAAATATTTATATACCTAATATAATACTTTAGTATCCAACAAGTGGCTATGAAAATCAAAATAAATATAAATCCATGTCCAAAAATAAAAAATGTAAATAACGCTTTGAGGTATAAATTCGGTTGAATCAGAAAGATTTTCATGCATCCGTTATCCGACGATACGATATTAATTTTATTGGTTGAATTTAAAGACTTCGATTTCGTTAGAAACGGTTAACAAATCGAAGTCCTTAAATTCAATCAATAAAATTAATATCTTATCATCATATCGTCGGATAACGGATGCATGAAAATCAAGCTTTAATCCAACGGAGACTAATAATTTTCAGTAGTGGTTTACTAACAAACAAATTTGCCCAAATGACAAAAAAAATGCTTCGAAAACACAAAGAACAAAGAAAAAAACTGTTTAAAATATCTAAATGCAACTATTCGAGAACACTTTAGTTTTTTTAACCAGATACGTCTATAAAAACCGTTGACGTTCTGTTAAAATGATTGTTAAATGCTGTGTTAATGGTCATTTGAAAAAATAACTATTTTATTTTGTAGATACAGTGGCGAAATACGCATATACTTAGGACTTATTTGCAGAGATGGTTTTAATTAACAACAATTAAACGATAAAATACTTACTTGTGCAAAGAAAAAAAAATCTTATTATTGTCGTACAGAAAATGTACATGTAATTCCAGTAGTGAGATACCCTTCAGCTCCTCACCCAGTCGTCGTTTTCATAAAGCCGGTCCCACACGATGTGGCAAACCCTCCCAACGTTGTTGGAGACACGCAAGGACTGTATACATTATTCTAAAGGACTGCTCGATCGCGTTAAATCGCCGCTGTTGTAGTCGCCGTGGAATGCTACGTCACGCGCTGACCAGCGCTCCACAGTGCGGCGGATGGTTATTCTAGCGGGACACAATCTCAAGAGCAATGCTTGGGACTTAAAATCTAAGAACGTAGCAAATGGTCTAATATATAGCAACTATATGGTTAAATTTATTTATTTATTAACAACTTAATTTATTAATAAATAAATACAAGATAATAAAACTATGATATTATTCATACATGATACACAAAAACCGTATTGTAAACTATTGCCAAATATATAAAATTATGATATCAAAAAATTCTTTAGCAGTTTTTTTTTAATTAATTTGTAATCTTGTGACTCTATAATTTATTAAAAAAAATATATTTTATTTTGAAAATAATAAATAAGATAGATATTTTAATTTTAACACTCGGTAATTGTAAATTCATATTTAGTAAGTATCTAAGACAATTTTTTAAACTCAGTGCCTTTTGATGGAGTTGTTTTGTTTATATGGTATCCGATTGAAATGAATCTTTGTGGGCATTCACCTGTTAAGCTTGAACTCCATGTGACTGTGACTACCTGTGTTGGTAACTATTGGTAACTCAAAAGATCTACATCATTCAATATATCGATATTTGAAAAAAAAGTGAAAGTTTGATATCTGCAGAATAAAGGCACGAAGAATTTTAACAAATAATATACGTACAGTAGAAAAGTATATACCTTTGGCAATCTTCAACATAATTTGGCTTTCCAATAAAATGTATAAGCACTTGTAAATATTTTGTTTTCGTATGATCTCTGCCTTGCTGAGCAGAAAACGACCAAATTTGGTGGATAAAAATGTATCGAAATACAAAGAATATTCATGCATTTTTGTATCAATTGGAATGTCTACTATTTATTCTTAACAGTACACATTTTTTGGCTTATTTCTAACCAAACGCTTTTGTCCCGCTAAATTTATTTTCCAACGCACTGTGCGCTCGTCCGTCAAATTCAAAAATAACTGTCACTGTCTAAAATCTTTAGCGCCAACTTCAACTCGGTCAGTAGATGACGTAAAAAAACTGACAGTGCAGGAAGATAGGTATCGAACTATCCTTATCTCTATATAGTATCCTTGGGAGACACGCATATCTGCCTACAACAATGTGTAGGAGACACACTCGGTCACTTGTCGTGTAGGACCGGCCTAACCCAGGTTTTACATTTTTAAATGTATAATTAAAAAAAGTAGTCTTTTTTAATACAATGTTTATATCAAATATAAGACCATTTTGAAAATTTCTAAAAGCATTAAAACTATTTCTCAATTTTAAATTTAATATCTAAAAGTTAATAATAATAATAATAAAATTTCGATACTGACCTACAACCTAAGAGAGTTTTATTTCTTGCTAGAAGCTTTTTCAAAAGATCAAATGGTATTAATAATTAATATGCATTTGATCATATTATGCACTTTTAATTGTACTAATAAATTCAAAATCAAAAAGTTATAAACAGTTCTTCACATACATATCACAATCTATAGAGACACCATACAAAATTTTATCCGCATGATTTTTTCATTTTTTTTTCAGACTTTAAAGAAAAACTCTTTTATTAACTTATTTACATTTAGCTATAATATTTTATTTTGGCGTGAAAAGAAATAAAAAATAATATTTTCCAGTATTAAAACAATATGTTAATCGCGACGTTCACTCAAAATTAAGTCGACGATGGATAAAACAATCTTTAATTTTTTTTTCACTTCCGATTAAATCTGAAGAGCCAGGAAGAAAAAAAACTATTTTAATCAACTGATACAGAGTGAAAAAAAAACTATTATGAGATATACAAAAATAAAATTGATTTTTTTATGGGATAAAATTCCCCAAAATATTTAAATTTTTCCACTTTTAAACTTTTATAAATTAACTTAAAATTAAAAAAATAAAAACCTTAAAAGAACCACTAAAAAAAACTATAATAATAAAAAATGATTAAAAAATATTTATACACATATTTTTTAATCAATTATTGCTTTTGTTATTTTTTTTAATATCTAATATTAAATTTTGTTTGTATTAATCAATTATTGTTTAAATATTTTAATAATATTAAAAACAAATTCATATGATAAAAATTACATGTTAACAACTCGAATATAGTTCAAATCCAAACATTCATTTTCACTCTTTAATTTATTGAGTGTCAACACCGCCTAACATATTAAACTACTGAAATACTATGTTTTATGCATTTGCATATGCATCATGCAGATGCATATAATCCGATGTCTAGTAATGAGATACAGACTAAAATGTTTTCTTTATTAGATAAAAATATCCTAATATATTTAGATTTATGCACTTTGAAATTTAGGTAAATTAACTTTCATACAATTAAACATTATAAAAATATCCTTTATATTATATTTCAAAAATATCCTATATTTTTTAAAATTATTGCGTTTAATGTTTTAATAATATGAAATACTTACTTTGTTTCTATAAATTAACTTCATGTAGATTTTTATATCAATTTTATATTATTGTTTATATAATTAAAAATAAAATTTTATATACACTTTATATAAAAACTATACAAGACTTACCTCATACAAATAAAAGGAGTCAATGCTGGACCCATTGGTAGTCTTTGTAACCCATGCCGAATTCTTCACGCAATAACAACTACTATCGTTACACTCTTTATAGTCAATAAATTCAAAATCAAAAAGTTTCGAACAGTTCTTCACATACATAATACTAAAAGTTTATCGACACACCATGTAAAATTTTACCAAACATGATTCATTCATTTTTTTTCAGACTATCTCAATAACTTCGTTAATGTTCAGAAAAGCTATTTCATTTGGTGTGAAAAGAAATTATAAACAATCGTTTTCAGTGCTGAAAAAATATGTTAAACGGAATTCGAGGAATGAAAAAAATGAAGTCGACGATGAGAGAAAAAAACAAACGAAAAGCGATGAAAAATTGCGATCGTCGATTGTTGGCGCGAAACAGTCGAAAGTCGTGGAGGCGCGTCGGGGCGAGAACAGTTGAATGCGGTCGCCACCTGCGACGCGCGAATCTGGAATGAGCGACGCGCTAAAATTTCGCTCGCCAGAGCGCTTCTGATTCTGGATTTTCGGTTCATAGAGGGGCAAAATGTAGGGGGTACATGCGCGTAAATTCTCACTCCGGGGGTTGAAAATAATTTGCGATTACTTTAGTAGCCTGTTTATGGAAAACTAACTATTAATACCTGGTAGCAGTTCGTAGTGCAACAGGTTATAAATCTCAAATAAAAAAAATGAAGAGTAATAGGAAAAAACAGACGATGTCACAAAGCTGACTTTTATAGAGAAAACTGATTTAATGTTATGCTAAAGATACAAAAAATTATCACTGCATGCAGTGGCGGATACAGAGGGGGGGGCATTGGGCCCGGGCCCCCTCTAAAATCTGTAAATTGGGTTAAATCTTAAGCTTTTGGGTTAAAAATGGCGCCCTAAAAAGCACATTCTACATTACTTTTTGTTTTGGCCCCCCTAAAATAAATTCCTGTATCCGCCCCTGACTGCATGCGGGAATATTTGGAAATATTTTGTTATAATCAATTACAATTTAGCAGGGTTGGTATGATTTAAATCATGATTTAAATCGTGATTTAAATCAAGTGATTTTTTTAATTTTAATCATGTGATTTAAATAAAAAAAATAATTTTATTGAAACTTTATAATAAATAAAAAATAATTGTAAAAGTTATATTATTATAAAAATGTATCCTAGAAAACTAAAAAAAAAATGTCTATAACAGATATAATCTATACTAATATATAAAATCCTGAAGTGACTGACATACTGATTAATCACGATCCTGCTCAAACCACTCAACGTAAGAAGCTCAATTTTGGCATACAGGTTGATTCTAGGGTGTAGAGGTTCGACAAGAAGGGATTTTTCGAAATTCCATTTCCAAGAGGGTGAAACCACCCCTCAAATATTACAATATTTTTTATTTAAAAAACGGTCAAGTTTTCGAAAAAACGCTTAAAAACGTATATTTTGTTTTGCTTTTTTACATATTTTAAGATTTTTTAAAAATGTATACAGGGTGTTTCGAAAAATCTGGTAATTGATTAATCACGATCCTGCTTAAAGTGCTTGACGTAAAAAGCTGATTTTTGGTAAACAGATTGACTTTCGGGTGTAGAGGCTCGATAAGAAGGGATTTTTAGAAACTCGAATTCTAAGGGGGTGAAACTAATCCCTCAAATATTAAAATATTTTTTATTTAAAAACCGGTGAGTTTTTCGGAAAAACTCTTAAAAACGTATACTTTATTTTATTGTTTTACATATTTTAAGATTTTTTATAAATTTATACAGGGTGTTTCATAAAATATGACCATTGAGTAATCACGATTCTGCTTAAACTGCTTGAACTGCTTAAACTGCTTGTTTAAAGCTGATTTTTGGCAAACGGATTGAATGTAGGGTGTAGAGGTTCGATAAGGAGGGGTTTCTCGAATCTCAAATTCCAAGAGGGTGAAAACGCCTCTCAATTATTACAATATTTGTTATTTAAAAAACGGTTAGTCTTTCGGGAAAACGCTTGGACAAGCATAATTTATTTTGGTTTTTTACATATTTTGAATTTTTTTAAAAAATCATACAGGGTGTTGGGTAAGTTCTGGTAATTTGTTTGGGTAAGTTGGGTAATTTCTTAACCACAATTCTGCTTAAACTGCTTGACGTAAAAAGCTTATTTTTGGCAAACGGATTTTTCGAAAGTCAAATTCCAACGAGATGAAACTACCCCTCAAATATTACCAAGTTATATAATAATATCGCCATGTTGTTTTTTCTCATGCTGACATAACTGTGAGAAAATTTTATCCAGTTTGTATGTTAATGGAAATTCTTGCTTTGCTTTATCATCACCATTACAAATGATTAATTCGACGCGAACGAAGTCGCTGGTACACGCTAGTTTACGTATAAGTAACAACATTCGCAAAGTCTAGTGCCAGAACTAGGTTCTTCTGATATAGAGACTATATTATCTTAATTCCCGAGAATCTATAATCGTTGTCAGAAAATATGTTGTTTTATTTTTTTTTTCAAACGGTTGTATATTTCCAAATTCCTATCGACATTTTGATCTGTAGTAAGTATTACACTTTGACATTAGATAATACGTACTAATTTCATTCTCGACTTAAGACTATTTCCGAACAATAGTGTATTGTTTTATTAGGAGTAAAAATTATACTTTTTTTGACAATGCTGTACCTTTGAAGGACCATCGTAAAGCCATTCCGACGTTACATTGAGGCACAAAAAGTACAATATTTTTACTCCGAATAGAACATACTATTTTTTTAAACATGACAAATTATTTTTTAATCAATTTGAAACATTTCAAAAAATATAAACAGTAATCGAGCAACAATTTGTACACTCGTTGAATTTGACACTTAATATCAGTTTTTTTAATATATTTTTGTACTTTTGTGCTTAGGCGTAACAGTGCTTTACTTTTATGCCTAGGCGTTAAAATGACAAAAGTTAATAGTTTTGAGATGTTCCTTTAAAAAAAAATCCTTTTGATCTGAAGCGAGCGATTTTTTTTGCGGAATATATTGGTGACCGATGTGGAAAAATGACACGCGCTGTAGAATTGTTAATGTTACCGGTATCGGGCAGAGTTATAAAGATTTAATCATTTAGGATAGGAATTTTTAATTGGAAATAAGTCCTGGTCATTTGGAAATCCGATTTAAATATTGTTTTGAATTAAAATAAAAAAAATCTGATTTAAGTCAAAAAAATCTGATTTAAATAAATAAATTTTTTTTGATTTTTTTAAAAATATCATGATTTGGAAATGTCATGATCTTTGAAAAATCATGATCTTTGAAAAATCATGATCTTTGAAAAATCATGCATTTGGGACTTGATATTCTCATCATATTAAGTTGACTACTTGAAAATGCCTATAAACCTCGTTGTTTTTCCCCTTACTTTTCAAATGAAAATTCAAAAACATTGTAGGGGAGAGTGGCTTAAGCCGTACTGAATACTTTGCACGTAAGTCAGAAAATTTACAAACATTTTGTGACTGGGTGGTTATGATTATTCCGAAATATTTAGTTTACTCTCTTCCATACTTTATACAGGGTGTTTCAAAAAACATGTGCACTCTTTCGTGAGGAGATTCCTCACGTAAAAATAAGATTAATTTTTTATATCAACATAGTTCCGATTCCGCTTTGTTTTGTAGCTACAGGGTGTTAAAGTCTTAATATTTCTTAGATTTATTATAATTTTCTTCCAAGTACTTTCAGTGTTTCGAATGAAATTTTGAGGGTAAAAGTTACTATAAATGTATGACATATTTTAAAGTTAAAAAAGTGTCGACATATTCACCAGGGACGTACATATGGGTTATCACTGGAATTTTTTCTAAAAAAAGCATGTACGCCACTGTCTTTTTTCTCTTGTTAGCGAAATAGTGTAAGCAGTTTAATGCCGATTAAAAGCTAACCCTCGATATTTTGTCGATTTCGGCCTCCTTGATGAGATAAACGCAATTTTATTAATTTGCCTTGATCCAAGTCTAATAGCAACCTTTAAAAAAATTTAATATTATTAACTTGCGAAAATTTTAAATAAGTACTCATTGATTCCTCATCAAAAAATATGAAAAATTCCTGGGTATGGAAATGCATAGCTTTAGAGTTACAAGATGTAAAAAGTTAGATTTTTTGTTATTATTATAAAAACCATTATTTTTTTTTTAAATTGGAATTGCTGTAGGTTGGACTACTAGTAATAATAACTAATAGTATATAACTAATATTTAATAATAAATTAGGTAAAATATATAATTTATTAATATTATTTTTATTTTTATTTTATGAATTATGATTAATAAAATTGCGTTTATCTCATCAAATAGGCAAAATAGTTTTGATATCAAAAGAAAACAGTCAGTGGCACATATGTTTTTTTTAAATATTCCAGTGATAACTCGTATGCACGTCCCTGATGAATTTATCAACACTTTTTTAGCATTAAAATATGTCGCACTTATAGTAACTTTTACCCTCAAAATTTCATTCGAATCACTAAAAGTACTTGGAAGGAAATTATAATAGATCGAAAGATTATTAAGATTTTAACACCCTGTAGCTACGAAACAAAGTAGAATTGGACCTATGTTGATATAAAAAATAAATCTTATTTTTCCCTGAGGAATCTCACCATGAGAGCACATGTTTTTTGAAACACCCTGTATATTTTTTTAAATTCTTATTGCATTTCTCTCTCTCTCTCTGTCTTTATTCCTACAAAATTAATGTAGTGGTCAAGTGATGTGTGAGGTTTGTCTCCATAATTCCCTGTCTTGTGCTTCATGTAAAAGCGTGTGCAGTGGCTTGTGGGTGATTTTTGATAGCTGGTCTATCCATCGGGAGGGCGAGCGGCCTCTTGGTCTTCTTCCCGGAACCTTGCCTTATATAATGAGTTTTTCCATACAGTCAGTATCCCTCCTCATAACGTGACCGAAATATTTAAGTATACGTGACTGTATAGAAGTTGAGAGGCGTTCTGTGATGTTCAGTTCTTGGATTATGGATTCATTGGTTCGCCGGGCAGTCCAGGGAATTCTGAGCATTCGTCGCCAACAGTACATCTCAATTGCGTCAATTTTTTTCATTTCTGACTGTCTCATCGTCCAGGACTCGGAGCCATACATTAATATAGGAAATATTAGGCAGTGAACAAGCCTTTTTTTTAGTGTTTAGATATGTTTTTTTCTCGCCATATCTTTGAGAGTTTTCGCACTGCCACTCTTGTCATTTCACATCTTCTTCTTATTTCCCCTTCTAACGATTCCGTGTTGTTTATAAGGGACCCAAGATATATATATTGACTTACAACCTCAAAACGACCAATTCTCACTACATCAGGTTTGTTGTTGTTTTGCCTGTCGATAATCATAATTTTTGTTTTAGAGGGATTCATTTCAAGTCCAAGTTTCTCGCTTTTGTCTTCAACCAATTTTAGA